CGTCTCATCAACATCATCTTTCAGGTACTCCTTAATAGCTTCAATCACTCTTACTCTTATCTTGTCATCCAATTGCTCTTCAATTCCTCTTAACCTTAGATGTGTTTGCATGGCTCTGCAACTCACCACTGCATCCAATGTCTTATGTTCTTTTGACATTGTCTCCACCTTTTGATTTACATCTTGCATTTTTTGACTAACATCTTGCATTTTTGGGTCCATTTCTGTTGATTTCTGTGCCAGACTTTGGAACTCCTTTCTAAGATCTCCCACTTCTTTTTCTAATTTAACTCCCATTTCTCCTACTTCTTTTTTCAACTCAGCAACTTCTGACACCAATAATTCCTTCATCTGCTTTCCCATCTCTTGAATTGCATCTGTCATCCGCTGCTCCATTGCTTCCATTGCTGCCTGTAATTCTTTATCTTTTTTTGTGTCCATTGTCGGTGTTGAAACCAATGCTGCCCTCGGTCTCAGCCTCGGCTCCGTTAACACACAAAGACTGGTCCAGCCAAGCCACGTGTGCGTTCCCTGGTCGCGACTCCGGGGAACTTAGAGAGTCACCTGAAACACCTTAGTGCGCGCTAAGGGGAAGAAGCAGAAGCTGGAGAGAGAGAGAAAGAGAGAGAGAGAGAGAGAGAGAGAGACAAAGCCGCGTTTCTCTTTTTAACATCTCTGTTCTGGGCATGGCCTTACCTGCCATAAACCCTGGGGTCCGTCCTCTATTCTATGGCTATAGGTCCACTAAGGGGTGACGTCCTAATGAAGGGGCAGGGGGCAATATGAGGATATTCTATCCTACATCAAAGCGGGGGCCATGTGGTGAGGAGTGAACCTCCGTTTCCATTGGCAACCTTTAATTGCTGAGATGTTGCTGGTCCAAAGTCATAAACAGTGTTGTATTTTGATGCCCAAACCAGATAGCAGAGAGGGAGTTGGTGCTTTCCCACCATCCATCAATGGTGGTCGCGCCTGTTGCTCCTCTGAATGTCTTCTTGTGCATATTGGAAGTGACCTCCTCTGGCCAGGGGCACAGTGGAAAATTCCAGGGACGCATGTGCTCTGGGGCCGGCATCTCAGCAATGCCCATCCGTGGGCAGCATGAGGTGAAAGGCCAGCCATTCAGGCACATACCAGCAAACACACATAGCAGTGTGCCCTGAGTTCCCAACTGCACAGATACATAGACATTTGATCAATATTTCATAAGCACAGTACAGATAAAATGCAAATACAAGCACACATCGTAACAACCGCTTGGATTACTGATGTCTTTACTGCCTCTTGGACTGTCTGTGTAACTATGTTTGAAACCTAGGATTTCAAATCGACTTTGAGCTCCTCCATTGATATCGTGATTGTAGGGTTTGTCGCTTGTTGTAGTTTTGTTTGTGTTTTAGGTGAGGGTATAGATGATTTCCTAATACCTGATCCTGATGCCATTTTTGGAGAGCTTTAATTTGTACAGGGTGATTTTAGTTTGTAACTGAATCCTCTTTTTAAAGTGTATTTGCTGAAATCTGTTCATAAGTCCCTATTTTTAACTTTTTTAATAATAATATTGTTATTATAATAATTTTGTTTACTATTATTAATGATCAACTAAATACTTATCTCCAGAGACTAATAATTTCTACTTCTCTCTGTACTCTTTAATTAGTGAAGCTTGAGTCTCCCCTCTATTGCTCAAACCTGTACTATTTATGTGTAAATTAGGGTGTTATTATTGTGTTATTAGTTTACCATCAAATAATTACCCACAGTTATTAATTATAAGATGTTTGAGTTATCCAGTAATTACTACCTTATTATTGTGATTCAGTTTGCAAGGTTTTATTAGTCTTAGGTTTCCTGGGATCTTTGCTTAATAAATTAACTTCTCTGGCAGGTTATTTCACCAGTATATTTCTCTCTTTGCTTACTAAATTAAATTAATTGGCTATCCCCTTCCAAGTAATATTGCCCGTATCAAAATCATTAGATCCGTATCCACTAAATTAGTTTCCCTAACCTTTATTACTCTGTTGACTTTATTTGTCTGCTATAATTTAATGCTTTGTTTTAGGTGTCAAGTATTTATTGTTCCTTATTTTCCCTTTTATTTATACTAAATATACTAAATGTGCTAAATGATTGGTGTTCTAATAAAAGTTAGTGCATTAGTCGCAGCCAGAATTATTTTCAGCTTAACTACCAAGCTATGGCACACTGTTGTTTTACAGCCTAAGCTCCTCCGCTCCTTCACTTCCCCCCCTTCACCATCCACCTTGGCTTCTTCCTAGCCACTGCTGGCTGTAATACGTCCTCAACACCCTACTCCCCCTTCCAAATGCTCAGTCACTTCCCATTGTTTATTACTTATCTATTGTTATTGTTCTTAATATCAAGCATTACAAGTCTAGCCAAACACCATCTAGGATCTCTCAACCTCCTGTCACACTGCACTCTTCCACTTCTCTGCTTCTCCGTAGCTCTGGATTTTCTTTTGCCCTTAATCCTTTACTGGCATCACTTAGCTTCCCTCCATCATCAGAACGTGTTCTCTCCTTAAATTGCCAGTCACCATTGAAGAATTAGTCGCTTTGGAAATTCCGCCCTCTGTCTCCGTCTATACTGTCTCCGCTCTTCCCTCAGCACCGCCTCTCCGCCAAACAGCCGCCTCTTTTCACGTCACACCTCACGGTTTTCGCCTCGATGCACTCCTCACTCTCCTTACTCTCGAGTCGTCTTCCCCCCACACACACACACATAGACCTCCGTCTTTCCTCTGCTAACCAAGACAACACCGGCACCCTCAAAACAAACAAGCAAAATTAACCGGTTAGCTTCCGTTCCACTTCTTTCTCCCTCCCCCCTTTTTTTGTCAGTATGTATTTCCTCGAGCTGTATTTTCCCTCGGCCAAGTAAATTCTGCCGTTTGCTCCCAACACCGGGGGGGGGGGCGGGGGTTTGAAAGGGAAAACAATATACTACCTATTTAAGTGCAGCTATCAACTCGCTCTCTTTTTTCCCCTCAAGTTCACGTTTCAATACTTATCTTTTTACTGGCTCCCACAACTTCTCTGCTTAGCTAGTGTATGTTGAGTCTAGCCTTGACCGCCATGCTCGACTTGAATCCGGCGTTACAGTCGGGCATCCTCGGGCTTCTCCGCTTCAAGGCAACTCCATGTTCAATAGAGGTGTTTGCCTCACACCCCTTGACTGGAGCAAGCCTCTTGCTCTCCCCTCCAGCTGAGAGGAGACTCAGGGACTCTAGGTTCCTAAGAAGAGGGTAGGAACCCAGGAACAGTACCCATGTCGGAGCAACTCCACACACATCTACCCTCGTCAAGCTCCGGCGGCCATCTCCCTCCATTGAGAAATACTGAAAAAGCCCCCTTTTCCCCCCTTGGCCTTCAAGCCTGTGTCCCTCCCAGCCACATAACATATTATATGTGGCTATGGGGGATTATAGTCTGACCCCATGTAAAACATCCTACATTTTGTTCAGTGCAGAGATTTCTGTCATCCCCCCCCACACACACACATTTGGAATTGGAGTCAAGAAATTATTTAAATTTAGTAAAAACTGAGGTCTTACTTCCTCCCCCCTTTTAATTTTCAGGAGGGGGGGGGATGTGCTGCCGGGATGAAATCTCATTGGCTGCCAAACAAAGGAATGACATCATGACTGTTCTGATTATTCTTTTCACTTGGAATCTGACCCTTTTGCATGGACGCGGATCCCCTCCCCCCTCCCGCAGCCCAAAACCCAGAGGTCATTTCGGGGGGGAACGCGGGGGATCGCAGTTCCCCCGGGTGAGGTGCGGGGAGCGGGCCACACGACGAAGCCCCGCCCCCTGCTTCCAGCCACCCCGCCAGGAGGAGGCAGGAGAAGAGGGAGGGTAATTTGCTTCCTCCCCACCCCTGCCCACCCCTGCCTGCCTGGGGCCAGGGAGGGCCTTGGCGGGGCTTCCTCGCACTCTTGCCGGCCTTGCAGGTCCACTCTTGCCGGCCTAGCAGGCATATGCTAATGAGTTTACTAATGAGTTCCCCTAGCACTTTTTCTACGAAATGACCCCTGCCAAAACCAAACTTAATCCAGGCCTGGGCAGGAATTCCTGCAGGAGAGATAGGGTTGCCAGGTCTGGGCTGAAAAATACCTGGAGACTTTGGGGGTAGAGCCAGGAGAGGGCGGGGTTTGGGGAGGGGAGGGGCCTCAGCATGGTCCAATGCCACACAGTCCCCCCCCTCGAAGCAGCCATTTTCTCCAGGGGAGCTGATCTCTGTCAGCTGGAGATCAGCTGTAAAAGTGGGGGATCTCCTGGCCCCACCTGGAGGCTGGCAAGGGGAGCTCCCCCTCTGAGGGAGGGAGGGAAGGCCGCTTGACCAATTGGCCCCATAGAGAACGCATCTTCCCTGAGGGCCAAAGGCGGGGGGGTCCCATTTTTTGTTTGTGGGACAGAAAATGGCAATGGGGGCAGGGCAGAAGTCCTCCCAAAAGGGGTTTTTTGGGGGGGGATTTCCGAGCCCCCCTCCTGGAGTGCTCCATGTTGCTGGGGGAGAGAGAAGCATCCCTTTGAGCTAAGGGTCGGAAAGGGGGTCCCCTTCCCCACAGAGAATCCATTGGAGGACCCTCGAGTGCAGTGAGGGCGGTGGGAGGAAGGGCCCCTCTCCTTCCTAGGCATGCTCCAAACCAGTGATTGCCCCCCAACCCCTTTCTTACGCTAGTAAATCCCCCAACCAAAGTGTGCAAAACCACAATCAACGAAATGGGGGGGGAGCATGTGCTTCCGCCTGCCTCCCCTCCACCCAATAGTTCTTCTCCTAAGATGTGGGTTCCTGGGGGGTGGGTGATGAGGCACGAATCTTCTGGGTGGCCCCTGGGGTGGGTTGCCAGCCTCCAGGCAGCGCATCAGGATCTCCGCCCCCTCATTCAAGTGGGGAAAGAGACACCTGCCGCAAACACATCCCCAAATGTCCTCCCCCCCTCACCTCCCACATGTGTCTCTTGCACACAGGGGTCCACACCTGGCAGGTCATGTACGGCTGTGAGGTGGGGCCGGAGGGGCGGTTCCGCGGGGGGCATCAGCAGTACGCCTACAACGGGGAGGACTTCATCGCCCTCGACAGGGAGACCGTCACCTGGACCGCCCGTGTGCCCCAGGCCGAGGAGACCAAGAGGCGGTGGGAGGGCGAGATGCAGTATGCCCAGCACACAAAGGACTACCAGGAGGGAACCTGTGTGGAGTGGCTGTGGAGGTACCTGGGCTACGGCAATGAGACCCTGCTGAGGACAGGTGAGGAGGGGCCCCGGTGGCGGGAGAGAGAGAGATGCAGAGTAAGGGGGTCCCACATCCACCCCGGGGAGGGAGGGCTGTCGAAAGACCATCCCCCGGGCGGGACTCGAACCTTTGTCCTGCTGCTTCCAACCAACGCCCCCTCCCCCGCCGCCGCTGGGAACCCCGTCTTGCTGCCCCCTCCCCCCCAACATCCCCCTTCTATCCTCCAGGGCATTTTATGGGGTGGGCTGAGGGCTTAAAGACGGGGCTCCTTCTCCCTTCCTGGGCAAAAGTGGTACCATCTGCCCGTCATCCCCCCTCACCCGGGACTGCTGCTGCTTTCTGCAGAAAAGCCTTAAGGGGGGGAGGAATATGCCCCTCTTTCTCCCCCCCCCCACCATTTAATGCCTTGCTAATTTATTTGGATGGATCACCTCCTTTTCCTTTGCCCGCCTCTCCCTGCCCGATTACTGGCAGGCCAAGGGGCTGACCCGTCTGCTGGTGGAAGGGGGGAATGGCTGTAAATGTGAGGGGGCTGGGCTGAAGAGTTTGGAGGGGGGGGAGTTGAGAGCTGTGGGCCTGCCCTTGCTCCCCAAAACAGGCATTTTTCCCTGGAAGGGGATCCCACAAAAGTGGCACCTGTGAAAATTTAAATGGAGCCTCCCGACATCCCACTGAAATCTTTATACTCCATTTGCCAAACTGTCTTCAGTTGAGATTTCTCCTTCCCCCTTTTTAAGAATGTCAAGAGTACCTAAAGGCTGTCTTATATTTCACAATCCATTCTTCCATTGATAGAATATTGTCTGACTTCCAGTGTCTCGCAAAGGTAATTCTAGCAGCATATGAAAAATCTAGTTAGCATATGAAAGATCATACTTTGAAATTCTTTTGGAAACATGGGTATATTGTTTAACAAGATATCCTTGTTGCGCGGTGCGCATGTGGCGGCCTGGTGCCAGTAGTAAGTAGTAGCCAGCTGCCAGGACTCTTTCAGCCTCACCAACCTTTCCAGCCACTCCAGCAGTCAGCAGCACATCCAGCATATAGTACCACGCCACACAGTTCTTTGTGGTGAACTATATACAATTTATTTACAGAATTATACAGTGCTCCATCAAAGTGCTTCGCCATACGCCGTGATTCACATAAGGAATACATAGTCCAGCACTTGACTACATTTATACATATATACAACCAATCAGCAATGAGCTGATGTCACATCACTGGCCTCACACCACTTGTCTGGTCAGAACCGGCCAGGACAGGTTTGCAGCAGTCCTGCTGCTGTCACTCAGATCATACAGATCTGACAGTTCATCTAGCCATGTATATTAACAGTTCAACACTCCCCCTTAATATACATTGCCTAGACCATATTTAACATTTTCTTACATTTTTGGAACTTCACATCATCCAAACTCTTTGTAAAGATGTCTGCAACATTATCAGTTGTTTTACAATGCTTCAGGGTCACAATCTTCTTTTTCACCATGTCCCTGACATTTTGGTATCGGACATTAATGTGCCTTGACCTGGGCTTTATGCCCTGTGAACCTGCCAGTTGCTCAGCAGCCAAATTGTCGCACATTATGACCATTGGTACATCACATGGCATATCAAAATCTTTTAGCAATTGTAATACCCATTCTAATTGTATCACACAATCATTTAATGCTGAATACTCTGATTCACACGTACTGGTCGCGACAAAATTTTGCTTTACAGACTTCCACATGATTAAAGCATTATTTACAAATATGACATAACCAGTGGTAGATTTCGCATTTTGGTCAGTGCCCCAGTTTGCATCACTGTAAGCTATTACCATATTTGACTCGTCACCTTTCAGCACCAACTTGTTAGCTGAAGTGCCCTTCAGATACCTTAGGATCCGCTTTGCAGCGTTCCAATCCCTTTGGCAAGGTTTATTACATTTTTGACATAGTACATGTACAGCATTACTTATGTCTGGTCTTGACCAAGTTGATAAATACATCAGAGAGCCTAACAAGGACTGATACAACTCTTGTTGTGCACACTCTTCATCAACAGGTTCTTTTAAATAGCCAGTAAACATAGGGGTAGAGACAGACTTTGCCTCTGTCATATTAAAATCTTGCAACAATTTCAATATTTTAGTTTCCTGGCTAATTTCAAAATAGCCTTCTGGGTTCCTTGTTATCTCCATGCCCAGATAATGTTGAATCTCCCCTAGATCCTTCACTTTGAATTGTTTGGAAATGCTTTGCTTAAACCAAGCTACTTGTTCTTCCCTTTTGTACACCAGGCTAATGTCATCCACAAACAGAATAATATAACATTTCTCACCATTCACCATAGCACTGAACATACATGGATCTGCCACACTCTGTGTAAACCCCATGTTCTGCAATGCATTTGTGAGACATAAATTCCAAAGATGACCACTCTGTTTCAACCCGTACAACCCTTTGTTGAGTTTGAGTACTAGATTTGGATCTGACACCTCAAAACCAGGTATTTGTCTCAAATACAATTCTTCATCAATTTCTGCGTTTAGATAGGCAGTAGAAAAATCAAAATGTCGCACCTGCAACCCCTTTATCCCAGCTTTGACTAAAGCTATAAGTAGGGTGTTGCTGCGCATTGTGGGCAAAAAACACTGATCATAATCGATCCCAGGCCTCTGACTACAGCCTTGCGCTACGAGTCTAGCTTTTCTTTGAGGAGGGCCTCCATGAACCGGCTTAAGTTTATAGAGCCATCTGCATCCTATAACCTTCTTGCCTTTTGGAAGCTCAGATACCTTAAACACATCATTTTCACATAATGAATCATGCTCTGCTTTCATAGCGGTCAACCAGGCTTGTTTTTCCTCAGAGGGCATATTTTTTACATCATCATAGCAAGTGGGTTCAATAGCACTCACATAATTGATCACATTTGTTTCAAACCCATACCTCTGGGGAGCCACCCCTTTTGTGGTTCTATCAGACCTTCTGGGAAGTTCCCTTCCATCAACCACTTGATACACTGGGTTCAGCTACCACATCACCTGATGTGCTAGGTTCTGTTTTGACAGACACATCATCTGTTTCTCCAGTAAGAGGCAGTGTAGCTTGATCTGGCAATGAGTTTGCATGTATTTCATGCCAGTTCCTGCCTTCAGAGAAGTTAGCCGACCTACTAAAACTCAGGTGGTTGTTTTGGTTTGCAAACCGATAAGACTTCATCCCTGGCTGGTAGCCCAGAAATACCATTTGCTTTGACCTGTTGCCTCCCTTCCTACGGTGTTCAACAGGGATATTCACCCACGCCTTTGAACCAAATACACGTAGATATTTCAGGTTAGGTGCTTTACCATACAACACAGTATAGGGAATATCATCCAACACCCTGGACCACGTTCTATTTGAAACGTACACTGCACATTTTAGTGCTTCTGCCCAATAGCACTTAGGTAGCTTTGCATCTGCCAACATTGCATACATTATCGTTTGTAATGATTGATTGTGCCGTTCGGCCACCCCATTCTCCGGTGGCACCCCCGGATTGGCAATGCGATGCTTTACTCCCAAATTCTGCAACCACTTTTTCATTTCGTTAGACATGAACTCCCCTCCCATGTCAGTTTGTAGAGCTTTTAGCTCTCCTAATTGGTTCTTTACCTTCTTGTACCAATACTTGAGAGTGGAAAAAGCATCTGATTTGTTTTTCAATATATAAATCCAGCTGTAATGTGAATAATCATCCGTCAAAGCCATGGCAAAACGACATTTAGACACACTTTCTGGAAATGGTCCTAGCAAATCAACATGAACGCTTTGTAATGCTTGAGTAGACACCCTTTTGCTTTCTTTGGCCACAGGAAATGCCTTAGTTTTAACTTGCTTACAAACTGCACAGTCTAAGGAAGTTTTGCACTCTTTCACTCCCTCCCTGTCTGTCAAGGCCAAGGTCTTTTGCACAGCATGGAAAGAAGCATGGCCCATTCTCCTGTGAAGTAAGTGCAAGCAATTTTCATGGGGGTTTTTGTTACTGGGCAGACTGGCTGTTGCTGCCGTTTCTACATGATCAAGAACATACACACCATTTCTCAAATAGGCCGTAGCCATTACTCTCCCACCTCTTTTAACATAACATTTTTCATTTGCAAACTCAACAACATAATTAGCTCTATCAAGACATGATACACTCAATAGATTGTGCTGCAATTTTGGAACGCACAAAACGTCCTGCAAGGTGCATTCCAACACAGGCATCTTTAGTTCTCCACAGCATTCCACAGCAGCCGTGCTTCCGTCTGCCATGAGAACAGTTTGTTGCTGAGCTTTGCGTTTGTTTTGCAGCATGTCAGAATTGTTCACAAAGCACGTGGATGCGCCGCTATCAATGGTCCATCTAATTTCCTGGCCAACAGCTGTCAAAACAATGGATACATTTGCACGGCCAGGCAACATGTTTGGCCGTGTAGAACCCCTCTCCGGCTTCATGTTATTCCTTTTGTTTAGTGGACAGGCCCGTTTGAGGTGACGACTGTCCCCACATAAATGACATCTTTTAACAAACAAAGCTGTTGCAGGCTCAGGTTTCACGTTCCTGTCCTGCCTTTTGCCCACGGCTCCCCCAGCCTCTCCTGGCTGAGAGCGTTGGCAGGCAGCCGAAGAAAAATGCAAACGGTGCGTCTGTTCGTACTCAATAGCCCTGCCAATGACTAATTGGAGAGACAACTGAGAAGCTTGTAATCCCTCCAGGGAGGTTATCAGGTTGTCAAACTCTGCTGATAAGGAACTGATTAACAAAAAACAACGGTCTTCCTGGGAGATTATTTTCCCTCGGATTTCAAGCTGCTGAAACATTTCAGTCATAGCATTTATATAGTCCCGGACAGGCTCCCCGGGTGCCTGCAGTTTACGGTACAGACGCCTCATTAACGCCATGAGTGTGCCTGCTGTCTGTTGCACATAAACTGCTTTCAACGACTCCCACGCAGACTTTGCATCAGGAGCAGAAGATATGTGGATAAGCTGGCTATC